CCACCCGTATCGCCTGCCGCGCACCACCACTATGTGGAACCAGCTGCCAACTGAAGTATTTCCGAACCAATTCCACTTAGGATCCTTCAAGAAAAGAGCGTACCAATTCTTAAAAGGCCGGCAACGCACTAGCGAGCTCTTTGGCATTGAGAGTGTCCATGGGCAGCAGTATGCCTCCTGCCCGTTTACCCTCTGCCTCATTTAGTCCGATGTGCGTAAAGTCTTTGATACCTAAGCTATCTCCTTCCAGAAGCTCAGAAGTCCCCTGGCCACTTCATAGGCTTCACGGAGCGACCTCACTGCTTCGAGGATTTATGTTCGTTGGGAGGACACAGCCACATTCCAGGACTACGTGGGTATATCCGATAGATTAAGCCATATCGTTCAATTGCTGTCACAGAATTTCAAATAATATATTATGATGGTATGGGATGCAACCTGTTCAGACACACTGGCCCCTTCCCATCTACAGGAAACCAAAGAGCTGGCAGCTACCACGGACAAATAATTAGTCTAGCTATTCAAATGGGGATCGCTGCCAGTATCTTCGGAAACTTGCCTAATGGGACTCCTTTTAATAATATATTTTAGTTACTATATTTTAAGGTTAGTTTATGTTTTTAGTTAAGAAAATTGTTAATAATAAAGTAAAAATGAAGCATGGAACGGCCGTTTCCCGTTGATAAGAAACAACAGGTGCAGTATACTTGTTTTGTGCTAGATTGTGGATTTTAGTTACGCCTAAAATAAGACAAATGACATATATAATCAATCAAACGCCTCAAAAGCTAATCTGAGATCAATAAGTTTCAGCCGCAATTTATATTTTGTGTCAACGTTGATTTATGACGGACCTCGGCGTTAGGTCAAATGCTTCTTACCAGGTTCTAGATGGGAATGGTATTGTATTAGTAAAACCGTAATACTTAATATACTGAAGTAAAAGATGCTGCAGCTTAATGGCTTTGGTAATATTTAATTCCCAAACCAATAAGATAAAAGATCACACAAATTTCGAAGTCAATTTATTACGAAGTGATATTGAATTCTTTTAAAACACTTCCTGCCACGAAAGCTTTTAAAAACGAATGAATATAAATGACAATGCATATTTAATTTCGCAACATATTATGCTTGACCTAATTTCAGGCTCACTTTTGTGGCAAATATGAATCAACGGTGCGCTAAAAAGGTCCCACGTTAGCAATTTTTTGCATTTAGAAAAAAGGTTTATTTTTATCTTCAATATTGATTGAATGGTTTTTAGGTTAGCTACTATTGTATATTATAATGTCAGTCTGTACTTTTAATTTATTCATACAATACATAAAAGATCTCGTTAAACCTACATTTCTATTTGTCTGTCCGTATTTGTTAACTATAATTCCACAAATCATTGAACAAATACAACATTTACATATAGTATACTGTGATATCTAAATCTATGGCATAAACTCGTGGAATACATTTAATTGGAAGCGAATATAAACATAACAATTTGCTCTTGAGACTTGCTCAATTTTACCTGCAAATCATATAAATCCATTTTTGTTAAAAATATATTACTTACCAAAACTGGAATCAGTTGAGCCGCGACGATAATATCAAATATGGAGTTAAATAGAATCTATTAAGAAATAGTCAACAGGTAACAGTGAATATATTTCAAAAGTACAACAAGTCTACATCACGGTAACAAGAGTCCGTGATAAGGAGAGGAAGACCAAATGAAGCGTACTTAGGTACATAAATAAAAATTGTAGAGTAGACATAGCAGATCACAGACGAGGAAAAAAGCGAAGGCTAATTAATACACTAAGAATTCGCGCGCGTATCTCTACTTTTGTGAAAGGCAGATTCAACAAGTGGTTTGTTGGGCGGGCGCGGTCGGTCCTTGGGACGACCACACGGCGGGAACACTCGCCCGCCAATGTTGCCGAGCCGTTCCCGCCTCAGAGAGCCAACTGCGCCTGTGTGCACCCTGGCCTTACACAGCAACCCTTATTGTTATTTGCGTCACTGTAAATGTGCTTATGTGTGCATAAATCTCTTTGTAAGCCACTGGTGTTTCAGTATTGATGCGGGTGTGTGTGTCTCTTTCGTGCTTGTGTGACGCGCCTACAGGTCTAGAGCAGGTGAGCCCCGGCGGTCCCCAGCCATTAGCACAGTCAATAAACACAACAGTACAACTTCTGTTGGCACTCTTACAAAATACATAGGGAAAAATTTACAGATTTTAAGATAAGGAAATATTTAAGCACAGTAACAGCTATATCTCTTCTATATTTAAAATGTAGTTGAAATTTTTAGTTTTTTAGTTAAGGGTTTTCTGTTTGACATACTGTTTTACAGTTTACCTGGATATATATGCGTCGTCCTATCTATAACGGTTTTACAATGAAATACCTGGCTAAACATAAACTACCTGCGTCCTTTAAAGTATGGACGTATGCGTTCACAATGCCTGACCCCTTTCTGTCACAGCTCAATAGAAGCATACCTTGCGTGCTATATATATATATTCAAATCTTTGGCGCATTGTATAAACAATACGTTTAACGCTTTGTTTTGCTTTACAATAATGTAAGGAATATAACAGAAAACCAATAATTATCCGCTATCACTTTTCGGTTAAGGAAAATATTTCTTTTGTTAAATTATTCCATAAAGTTTCGATGATAAAATATGCACTTTGAAAATTATATGCAAAAAGCTCTATAAGAAAATCACCTTCATATTTAAGGAAAGGCGCTTAAAATAGTAAGGCTACTTCCAAACTTGGAAGTTCATATTTTATGTATGATTTTCAATCCATTAACCTAATGCAAAGCTCCAATATTGTTAAACGAGTTCCATGTAAGCTCGTAGCGTGGCTCGTAGCATGAGCCACTACATTTGCTACGTCGTAGCGAGAAGTTTACAAAATTCATGAATAGAAGTTTTGAGTTAGAATACGATTCTGATCGTAACTATTTGACTTGGGAATTTTTAATCTCCAATATTGAATTAAGTCTTATAAGCTGTAAATTAAAAAAACCTTTTTTGGATATTGGAGGAAATATATTTATATAGTAAGTATATGACATGACATTAAATTATGTGAATTATAATCTGGAAAATATGCATTATAGATAATACTATTCTTATTAGAAATTTTCTACAATCCAATTCGGCTATGTCAAAACTGTCTCTATATCCCCTATAAATATTAAAAATTGTTGGGGGAACAGCAATACTGGAGAAAATTTTAAGGCCCTAACGAACCGATTAAAGGCTGCACATAATAATATGCGAAAAAGGTATTCCGGCAGATTTTGATGTTTATAGAAAATTTTTGTAGTTTTTTTAATGATAATGTTTCTTTGTTTGTCCCAAATAAAATATGATTTTTCTAATATTTTTTAAACCTCTATAATATATCGATATGTCTCAACATCTCAAGTTTCTTATCAGTTTTCTTTATGGTGTCCAGATTCTAACACCTACCGTTACTGCAGACCGTTAGCAATTACGTGTTGAATGAAAATTGGAGATCAATTCCAAAATTTATGAGGCTATGCTAGTTTTCTGCTTCAGAACCATAAGTAAATGGCCGTTTTGCCTTTGTATGGCGGCCAGCTTTTATTTGCTCATTTAATTTTTTTTAAATGACGGCTATCATTCGCCTACGGTCTACATCAAAACTTTGCAGGCCGTTGACAAATTTAGGGAATGGTTTTCCCAAAATTTTGACCCGATTTTCCTTTTCTTAATGTAATTTCCTATTACCAACAGAATTGGAAGATCAAAGCTGGTAATTTTTTTTTATACAAAGCGATCCAAAATCACTTTTGAGGGGACAGCGGTTTACAAAAAAGTGTCCTAACAACAATTGCTCACTCCCCTGAATTACATCTGGTCGAACACCACCCACCTAAGTATTACCACTTTCGAGGGCTAATGATGGAGAGACCCTTGGACCACCACCATCGGAACCTCCATTCCTGAGGGTCCTCTATTTCATAGACATTTGTCGAAGTAAAAACTAAGTATTCCCCATCGATGTATGTCAGTATATTGGGACGAGTTGCCCAACCCTTGGGGCTCACCTATATGGTGTCTTTATTATTTTCGTCGGATGCTCCAGATTCCGTTGCTGAATCCGACTGCTGTCACCGAAGTTAATTTGCAGGGCATAGAACTCTATATTCCATTTTCTACGATGCTAATCGGTGGCAAGTCATAGCCTTGATTTAAACGTTCTAGCAAGGCAGTCTCGCGTCGAAGTGCTCTTGATTTGGATCCGGTCTTAACCGCCTTTTCCAGTACCTGTACTCGCTCGGCAACATCCCGAAGTGCAGAAACACGCTTCAACACATCCGAACCCTAAAAAATCCGTCTAACTATCGCTCAATAGCTATAACGTCCTTATTTTCCAAAAGCATGGAAACTATTATTAACGGCCAGTTCCCGTTGAACTTTAAATCTTAGAATAGTAATTTATAATTTTTTGCTCGAAATATTTGATCAAAAGCCCCCTGACATTTATTTTATTATCATTATTGACAATATCAATCTAACACATTGCTGTGTCATTTGACGTTCCGACTTTGATTATTGACTGTTGTTTGACATTTGATGACATTAAATTCGTATTTCATTTTTTAACATCACAAATCACAAACATTTTCAACTCTTTGAAGTCGGAATCGAGAGAGTGAGTTAAATTCGGAATTGGAAACGAATAATTTTGTTCTAAGTGTTATGAGACAAAATAAAAAAATATTCTACACACCCTACAAGTTATAGTGTGAGTGAGCATCTCATCCGATCCGGTTGCCGCATAAAATTTAAAATCTTATCTGCATTCACAGTACGCGAGAGAAGATAAATAATATCCTGAGATTGATTTTTTGTCATCAATAAATATGCAGTGAAATGAAATCATAATGCGTTACAATTTATTCGCGTTAGTACTAGTGGCTCAATAGACACGGTAGCGGTGACTACTACTGAATAAAATGCCTTTTGTAAACATAAAGAAGCAATATATAGCAATCGGCATGTTAGTTTTTGTTGCTTTATTTTTCTTCAATACTCGACCGGCTTTCCAGTGCCAGATAACTCAGGAAGTGAATACATACTTGCCTACAATTTATGGAATTACACCAACCTATGCCCGACTTGCACAAAAGGCTGATCTCACAAGGTAAATCATGATTGTTTTGGCCTTGGTTTAAATTTGTTCTTGCTTATAGAAATGATTACTTTAAAATTGAGTAACAGTGAGACTAATAGATTTATATATATAGACAAAGAATATAAGCTATGAATTAATAGTTAATTACAATAAAATATTTTTTTTTAGATTATCACAGACACTTATGTTAGTTCGAAATTTTCACTGGGTTATTATTGAAGATTCTGAAACTAAAACTAAGCTTGTTGAGAATCTATTAAAAGAATCTACATTAAAATACACTCACCTCAATGTCAAGACGCAGAAATCAAAACATTCCACTGTAAGTAAAGTCGTACTTTATTACTAAACTTGTTCCTTTTAATTTCAATATCTGTACTATAATGTAAAAGGAATTTTGCTATGTTAGGTTATGAGTTTTAAATACAAGCTAGTTGGTTTTGTCATAATTTTTAATATTATTTAAAAACATCTGCTGTTCTGATGAGCGTTCATACATCTGACCTTACGTAAAATTCAACCTTAGACACTTGAAAATGCCAAGGTTACATTCCATTAAAGAAAATATTACTAACTGTGGTGTATGTCTGATATTATACATTAATTTTTATCATTACCATTTTATATCTCCTTTCAGGGATTGGATATAAATATATGTGTTTTTAAGACATCTAAGTACTACACATCTTGGTATTGTGTATGTTAATACTTGTTTTGTAATAATTGTTTAAATAACACTTAACCGTATGTAATAGAACTTGAAAGTGTTTAAAACTTGTTATGATTAAACCAGGATAGCAAAATATCCTTTTTAAAAAAAAAATCTGCATGATGTGTTTATTGATATTGAGAACTAATATGGTTTTTACACTATTATTTATAAATAGAAGACTAAAATCTAATATAACTTGATAGTAATAATTACAATTCAATTTAAATAATTAAACTGTATAATTGTATTATGTAAATAATACTTTCTAACACAAGCTGTATATTTACATTCTTAAAAAAAGACTATAATTTACAGGCAAGTGGTGTCGAGCAAAGAAATGCAGCTTTGAGCTGGCTTCGAGATCATTTACGGCAAGCAGAAGACAAAAAGGGTGTTGTATACTTTATGGATGACGACAATACCTATGCATTAAAAGTCTTTGATGAGGTAAAAAAAAAATATAATGTGCTCATTATATTCATATCATCTATTCTTACTTTAGGGATTTTTGTGACATTGTATAATTATCAAATATCTTATTAGCGGACATCTTTAAGCTATGATTATAGAAAACATAATTGCCTACTCAGGTTTCTGTTTGGCTAAGATTTAAGGTCGAGACTTGTAATACTTGAATCTGAATCTTAGGCTTACTCCTGTAGTGCCACAACGATCAATGATAAATTGGCAGATAGTTCTTGCTGCAGATATAGTATATGTAGTTGTAGAAGTATTCATAATTTAAATATACATTACATACATTGTGAACATGTTAATCATAGTTGTTTATATTTTCAGTGACAGGTATGTTGCATTTTAAACATTATTTATAATTGCATTGTTTTTATAAACAAGTGATCTACATTAATTGTTTGTGTAACTTCAATACTTAGTGATATGTTAAGCCATTGAAGATACACATGTAAATTTTTTATGTCTTGTAAATTACTTTTTGCAGCAGTTTTAAATTTGTACTTAGTATACATTATTATGTATATAATATATATATATAATAGCTGACCCGGCAAACATTGTTTTGCCATGTATATTATTTCTAGGAAACATTTTTTTAGTTCAATAAAAATAATATCTACAATAATAAAAATAGGAGTTGATAGAAGAGTGGTGAAAATAAGGGGTTGTGTGTATTTATGTAAGTTGTATCATAAAAAATAAAAACAAAAAAATTGTCTAAAAAATAATGTTTTGGACGCCCCTTTTCACTTAGGGGTTTGAAATATAAATAGTAGCCGATTCTCAGACTTACTGAATATGCATAAAAAATTTCATAAGAATCGGTTGAACCGTTTCGGAGGAGTATGGGAACTAACATTGTGACACGAGAATTTTCTATATTAGATGAATATAATGTATGGGAAATAAATTCTTATACTATCTAGCATATTTAGTTCACTGTGAAATTAGCATTGTGATTTAATACTTATTTACTTTTTAATGTTGATGACATAAAAAGACAGAAATGTACAAATTATAAAAGTTTTAATTAAATACCATCAATTACGGTCGTAATGAACTACAATGTTCATTGAACATCTTAACATTAATAATTTACTATGTGTAGTAGCCGTGTAGTATAAAATATAAAAGCTGGTAAAACACTATATTGCAAACTATTAAATGCATTTTACAGATGCGAAAAATTAAGAAAGTCGGCGTTTGGCCCGTCGGAATCGTTGGTGGTATGAGAGTGGAGATGCCTTTAGTCACCGACGGGAAGGTGACCGGCTTCAATGCAGTTTGGAAGTCATTTAGACCATTCCCAATTGACATGGCTGGTTTTGCAATTAATGCAACGTTGTTTTTGAACCATCCAGAGGCGAAATTCTCGAGGAAAGTCCAATCTGGTTTTCAGGTATTTGTTTTTATTATACTAACTAAATCTGTCTTATTTACATATAATGTTCTAACTAAAGTTCAGTTGTCTGTTACATGTAGTCATGTTAGTTTTTGTGCACCTTGGTTATTTGTTTCTTACTTGGTTGGATTTTTTTTTAAATTACTGCTATAGATTTGCTACAAATACATGTTCTTTTCTCCTAATAATAATAGTTAATGAATAAAAGTGCATTTCCTATGTTATATTACACATGCAACCAATACTCATCATTTTCAATTTAACTTCATGTTAAAAAAAAACATTAGTTTGCGTAAAGATTTTATAAAGTCAAAGTGGTCACTTTATATTTTGAAAGTGTCACATACAAAATTAAATGAAGGAACTCAGTATAATGTTTCTTTAATTTATATATAGCATAGGATATGAGATATAAAATATACAGTATATGCACACATAATGTAAAATAATAATACACTTTTATATATCATATTGTTACGAGCTAGGGGATCGGATAGAAACGCCGTAGATCTCTTCAAGGGTTTATTTCAATTAAATCTACGAGGAATTTGTTAACACTAAAAACTGGAAATTATGCACAAAAATTCACTAAATAAACACACAAAATACTGTCACTAATTACTCTAATAACACGCACTTCACACAGTACTTGTATTCACTTTTCTTCACTATATTCGCACTTTGTCACTCCGGTGTTTATCGCTTGGTATCGCATTCAAAACTGAACTAATCGGTCGCGTTTCGGCTCGCTTATATATCCCTGGGAGCGATGTTCGAGAACTCTCTAGGCGGCAGTGCAACTGAGTAGCGATCGCACAATTCTAGAACGTGCGTACTAGCTATCTCTTTCGCACATTGCTCCGTCCTTGTCGTACGGCGTTCTAGAGTGCTCGGTCTAGCTTCGAGAAGGTTCCGATATTCCCTCTCTCTCGCGTATCGTTCCGTCCTTGTCCCACACCTAGAAAATTCGTTCTAGAACATTCCTTCGTCAAAGGGGTATAACCAGGCCTGAAAACGCCTGAAAACGCCTGAAAACGGGTTTCCTGAAAAGTGTACCATTCGACTACACGTGTTCTGAAACGGCCTGAAAAAATCCTGAAAACTAGGGTAACATTATGTAAATTGCGATTTTCTAATATGTGATTGACCCTCCCCTGAAACGGTCAGAAATCACATTTCAGCCTGCTGAAAAGTTCTCTAAGTAGTGGAAAAATCTAAAAACATTGCAGTCGACCCGTCTTCGTAACACTACCCCCTCCTTAGACATGCTCGTCCCGAGCATCATTACTTCCTTTATAGGGAGCCAATCGATTTATGTGAACGACTTTCGGTTTGCTTCTTAAACCACTCATTTTCTTTATCCGGTAAGTAACGTCATTAATCTTCGTGATTATCGTGTATGGACCATCCCAGTCAGCTTGAAGCTTTGGTGATTTGCCTTTGCGTTTTGTTGGATTATGGAGCCATACTTGCGAGCCTTCTTTAAATTCTATGTGATTCGTCTTTCTGTCATACCTAATCTTCGTAGTCTCACTTATTTTGCTTTGTGATGCTCGTACGTGTTCATGGATTTCATGCAGTTTATTACGCAAATCCGCAGCATATTCTGTAACACTCTCCGGAGTGTCAGGTGGTCGTCCCGTTACAATGTCTGCTGGTAATCTAAGTTGTCTCCCAAACATGGCTAAAGCAGGTGTAACATTCGTGGTTTCATGAACCGCAGACCGGTATGACATTAAAAATAATGGAATATACTTGTCCCAGTCTTTTTGATGGTTGTCCACCAGTTTTGCCAAGTGCCTTTCCAAGGTTTGATTAAAGCGTTCCACCATTCCATCTGACTGTGGGTGATATGGAGTAGTCCGCGTCTTATGAATTCCCATTAGTCGGCATACTTCTTGAAACAATAAAGACTCAAAATTTCTCCCCTGATCACTGTGAATCTCCAAGGGTACTCCGAATCTAGAGAATACGTCATTTACAAGTATCTCAGCTACTGTAACTGCCTCTTGATTGGGAATAGCGAACACTTCGGGCCACTTCGTAAAGTAATCCATAACAACCATGATGTACTTATTTCCTTTTTCTGTTAACGGAAATGGTCCAGCTATGTCAACGGCTATCCTCTCCCATGGAGCTCCGACATTGTATTGCTTCATACCAGCTCTAGTTCTCGTCTGTGGGCCTTTGACTGCTGCACAAGCCTTACATTTCCGAATCCAGTCTTCCACATCTTCACGGCAATGTATCCAATAAAATCTCTCTTTAATTTTCAGAAGAGTCCTTTTTACTCCTAAGTGTCCGCCCGATGAGCCATCATGAAACATCTCCAAGATGTTGCGAACCTTGGATCTTGGCACAACTAACTGTAGATGAGAAGCATCCCCTCGAGTGTTTTCCCATTTGCGACATAACACTCCATTATGAAGAACTAAGCTATCCCATTGAGCCCAGTAACTCTTGGTCGTGGTGCTAGTAGATGCAACATCATTCCACCGCGGCTTGATAGCTGAAGATTTCATCCAGTCCAGAATTGGTTTAATGTCAGAATCTTGTTGTTGCTCTTCCTGAATTAATTTCCCACACCAATCTGGACTAATGGTGTCTGTCCTTAGTATCCTTACATGGGCTACCTCTCTACCTTCGTGTCTTGTACAATGTTTGCAATCCTCCTCACATGGCCTTCGAGACAATGCATCTGCGTTCCCGTGGGCTCTGCCCTTGCGATGTTCAGTAGCAAAGTCATACTCTTGCAGTTGTTCGATCCATCGAGCCACTTGTCCTTCCGGATTCTTGAACTGAAGTAGCCATTTTAATGCAGCATGATCTGTCCTAAGACGGAACTTGCGGCCTAGCAAGTATTTACTGAAGTGCTGCAGCGTCTTCACAACAGCCAGTAGTTCCCTCCGAGTGACACAGTAGTTCCGTTCTGGTTTCGACAATGACTTGCTGAAGTAGGCTATTACTTGCTCATGCTCACCTTTTACTTGTGATAGTACACCTCCAATGCCAATTCCACTGGCATCTGTATCTACCACATATTCACCATCTTGATCCGGGTAGCCTAGTATTGGAGTCTCACACAGTCGGTTCTTGAGCTCATTAAACGCATCTTCACACTCTCCATCCCATGTGAATTTCCTCTTCTGTTCGGTGAGTCTGTGAAGTGGTTTTGCAATATCCGCGAAATTTCTCACAAATCTTCGGTAGTAAGAACATAAGCCTAAGAAAGCGCGGACTTCAGTTTTATCTTTAGGTACTGGCCAATCCTTCACCGCAACTATCTTCTCAGGGTCTGTTCGAACTCCATCCTCTGATATAATGTGCCCCAAGTAGCTCACTGCTCTCTTGAAAAATAAACATTTCTTTGCACTTAGTTTCAGGTTGGCTTTATGCAGTCTGGAGAGCACCCGTTGCAGATTTCGTATGTGATCATCAAAATCCTTCCCAATGATGACTACATCATCCAAGTACACTAAGCAGGCTTCTCCTATCAGTCCTGACAGTACTTTTTCCATTAGTCTTTCAAAGGTGGCAGGTGCATTGCAAAGCCCAAACGGCATAACTTTAAACTGCCATAGTCCTTTACCAGTTGAGAACGCTGTTTTCTCTTTATGACTTGAGTCTATTTCCACTTGCCAGTACCCACTTTTCAAGTCTAAAGTTGTAAACCATTTTGCCCCACTTAAGGTATCCAAGGTGTCATCTATTCTAGGTAACGGATAACTGTCCTTCTTCGTGATATCGTTAAGACGACGGTAGTCGACGCAGAACCTTAAACTGTTATCCTTTTTCTTGACTAAAACTACTGGAGAGCACCAAGGGCTGGAAGATGCTTCAATAACATTATGGTTTGACATTTCTGCAATCATCTTGTCTATATTCTTTTCATATGCGACAGGTACTCGTCGCGGTCTTAAACGTATAGGTGCTTCGGTTCCAGTCTCAATTCGATGTTTAACTACACCTGTCCTTCCTAGATCTCCATCGTGTGTAGCAAACATGTCAGAAAATGTTTTTAATAGTCCCTTTGCTTTCGACATTTCTTCTCTCGTCAAGGTTTCCTTACAGTCCTCAAGTATTGCTTGAACTATATCTCGTTGTTTACTAACTGTACCATCTTCAATGATAGCTCTATACACGTCGTACCCGTTCTCCAATGTGTTATCTTTTAGGGAAACTACTTCATCTCTACACTTGAATGTGCCGTTCTTCAGGTCAATCTTACAGTTGTAATGCTTCATGAAGTCTAAACCGATAATACAGTCATCCACGATGTCAGCAATAACCACCTCATGTCTGTATGTTCTTCCACCAATCTTGAAGGTAGCGATACCTTCTCCTCGAACGGTTATGTGCTGACCAGTAGCTGTAAGGAGCTGTACATTTCCACCAGAAAGGCTCTTGTAAAATGACTTCAGAAGTTGGTATCTGATTACTGTCCGGGAAGCTCCAGTATCAAGGGTTAACTCACACCTAGTGCCGTTAACTTCTCCGTCGATGACAATGGTATTCCCATCCTGAGTTTGAGAGATCATAACTTTTGGGGCCTTCCTTACAGAACCGGCCAGCACCCGCCCCGTGGTCCTGGCTTCTATTCGTTTCCCTGCCGCTGTTCAGCGGCAGTCACATCCACGTCATCGGGCTCCCCACGTCTTGTCTTCATTTCACCTCGGAGATCTCTCTTAGGGCATGAAAACCTCATATGCCCTACTTCCCCGCAGAGGTAACAGGTGGGTCCACGTTGGGAACTACGTTTTTCCGAGACAGCCCTAATGCGGTTAGGTCGAGAATCCTTGCAAAATGCTTCCACTTCCAACGCATGAGCAAGAGCATTCTTGAGGTCCTTATGGTGACCTAGGTTCACAGCCATTCGAATTTCACGGTCTCGAATACCGTCGACGAAGGCTTGAACCAACATCTTGTCTGCAACGTCTGGTGAGGATGCATAGGCTTTCCTAACCAGCTTCTCTATTTCACATCCCCATTTTTGCAAACTTTCATTTGTCTGCTGTATTCTATCCTTTAATTGAGCCCTATAGACGTGCTCTAAATGTGCGTCTCCGTACCGTGATTCTAGGGCATCCAGCAGTTGCTTCAACGTCACTTTACCTGTCTTGGTATCTAATATGGTGAGGGCTTCATCTCGCAGTCCCATAATAAGAGCGGTGACAGCCTGATCGTCATTCCACCCGTTTGACTCTGCCACAGTCTCAAACTGTATTTTGTACGCGCCCCAGGAAGATGTACCGTCAAAGGGAGGTACTTTCAGATTTCCAGATGGTGCTACAGTCGTTATGACACCTTTGGTCTTCAGGCACTGCATCTCTTGTTCTAATCCGAGAATACGTTTGTCCTGTTTCGAAAATTTGCAGTCCATATCAGATTCCAAGTTCTCGATTTTTTTATCTACTTCTTGTTTTAGATCTCCTAATCTTTCTCCGATACGGCAAGCCTGTTCCTCCATCAAACGACGTGTCTGAGCCTGCTCTTCCACGATTTGGCGTGCCTGTTCCTCTTGACGGCGAGCCTGTTCCTCCATCAATCGCCGAACCTGTTCCTCCTGATGACGGGCCTGTTCCTCTTGACGTCGTGCCTGTTCCTCTTGACGTCGTGCCTGTTCTTCCATCATTTGTCGTGCCTGTTCCTCTTGACGACGTGCCTGTTCATCCATCATACGACGTGTCTGAGCCTGTTCTTCCATCATTTGGCGCAGGGCAAGGAGGATGTTGCTATCGTTGCTTTCGCCCATCCCGCGGTTCGCATCGAAACTTTGTCGCCGGGCGGCGTCGCGTGCTGATTGTGCCCTTGTCTGCACTCCCTCCGCAGCTGGAGACTCGGCCACAAACTCCTCTTGATTCTCCCTCGGAGTAATTGGCATTTTTCTATCCCACTTCTGACACCAAAATGTTACGAGCTAGGGGATCGGATAGAAACGCCGTAGATCTCTTCAAGGGTTTATTTCAATTAAATCTACGAGGAATTTGTTAACACTAAAAACTGGAAATTATGCACAAAAATTCACTAAATAAACACACAAAATACTGTCACTAATTACTCTAATAACACGCACTTCACACAGTACTTGTATTCACTTTTCTTCACTATATTCGCACTTTGTCACTCCGGTGTTTATCGCTTGGTATCGCATTCAAAACTGAACTAATCGGTCGCGTTTCGGCTCGCTTATATATCCCTGGGAGCGATGTTCGAGAACTCTCTAGGCGGCAGTGCAACTGAGTAGCGATCGCACAATTCTAGAACGTGCGTACTAGCTATCTCTTTCGCACATTGCTCCGTCCTTGTCGTACGGCGTTCTAGAGTGCTCGGTCTAGCTTCGAGAAGGTTCCGATATTCCCTCTCTCTCGCGTATCGTTCCGTCCTTGTCCCACACCTAGAAAATTCGTTCTAGAACATTCCTTCGTCAAAGGGGTATAACCAGGCCTGAAAACGCCTGAAAACGGGTTTCCTGAAAAGTGTACCATTCGACTACACGTGTTCTGAAACGGCCTGAAAAAAATGTTTCAGGCTCCTGAAAACTAGGGTAACATTATGTAAATTGCGATTTTCTAATATGTGATTGACCCTCCCTGAAACGGTCAGAAATCACATTTCAGCCTGCTGAAAAGTTCTCTAAGTAGTGGAAAAATCTAAAAACATTGCAGTCGACCCGTCTTCGTAACAATATCATAATAACACAAAACATGAAAAGAAACTACAAGAAGACAAAGGATGTTAATAGGTGCTCTTACTGCTGTTAAAAGCAGTTTCTTCCAGACAACCCAAAATGACCATCAAATATAGTTTAATTTTTGTATGTTGGCTGTATTTCCAAAACAGCCAGTACAGTTGTGTGAAGCCGGGAGAGGCCGCTAATAATATAATTTAACAAAAATAACTGCATTTGAAAACGTATAAACAAAAAAAATATATTAATTGAAGGTAGACGCGGCCGTGTGGGACACAATTTAATCACAAATCTGATTTGATAATTGAATAGTTATGTTAAGTATTATACTTCCTGCTGATAACATTATCTATACACAGAGCAAATCTATTTCAGTATGAATGAGTAATATTACGATAACATGCGCCTAAAACATATTTTTTCGTCACGGTAAAAATGATAAGGCAAAACTTTTAATTTTATGGATGAAGAAAACTCATGAATTAATACAGCCAACATATAAAAAATAGACATGGATTTGTGTGTCTGTTTCGTGATTGTTTTTTCTTTATAGGCAAGTATGTGATCAGCCTTCTGTGTTTGACTTACGTGCATTATTCACATACATACATAGACATATTTTCTAAGTCATACCGGTTTCCTCACGATGTTTTTCTTCATAGAGTATTATATATAAGTCCCTTGTGTTAGGGGCTAGTTGATCTAGTTTTTAGGGTAGGAAATTAAACAGTCCAATGATGACTTGATTCACTATAATTCACACATTGATTGTATAACTTCAAACTTGAACAAAGGAATTGCCTGTGCGCATGTGTTACAAGCTCTTTTATCCTCTAGTTCCTACTCAGACTCGACCTTCCCACTTCGGGCAGTTATTCGAATCAATTCGTAAATAACCGAACGAGTCAAATGAGTAATTATTGCACATGCGCACTTGTAGCAAAAGAATATGTTTCATAAAAATGTTTAGAATTTAATTAAATAAACATTAAAAGCTAACACTTGATACAGCTGTGATTCGAGCGCACGACCAGGATCGAGTGTCACACGCTCAAGCCACTAGGTCAACCCTGCTCTTCCTGCTCAAAATATATCTATCTATATTTATACCTTACTTATACCCTATACTATATAATATACCTTATATTTAAAAACAAAATCATTTTTTATACAATGTTTTTACTCTGTCATGTTTTCATTCACAGATCTCTTTCTTATAACAGAAATAGCTTTCATGAATTCTAAAAGTTATATATATATATATATTATTAATATTTCATATAAACTTGTTGTATATACTACTATATTCTATCTATATTTAATATATACAAGTGCGCTGTGTACGCACGAAGCGTTGCTATCCCAACTGTGTTCCAATGGATTTTTAATGTGCGCAATTTCGCTCGGACGGTCAACACAAAGTTGAATACAGGAAATCCGATAAATAATGAGTGTGAAAGTACTCTTTATCACGATTGACCTTAGACCCTTTTTATCGTTTAATTGTTTTGACCTCATTGTACATGTTAACTGAACCATAAAAATTGATCTCGTGTTACCAACAAAATATTATTGTAGTGTTGTAATAAGTATAAACCTATTTATTACAACTCAAGGCTATTTTGTCTAGACTATTGTTGATGTATACAAAAAGAATTAATTCAGTGCAGTACAGAGAACATACTAAAAATTATAGTGGATTTTACGACCTTGGTTGTAGTAATTTTTCATATTATTTATAACAAATTACCATATATCCTATGGTGCCAAAGACTTGTTTTATCTTTCCGTATTGGCCTAGTGGCTTATGTCATATGTTCGATGCCCGGCTGTGCACCAATGGATTTTCTAACTATGTGCGTATTTAACATTCGCTCGAACGGAAAAGGAAAACATCGTGAAGAAACCGGCTTGCCTTAGACCCAAAAAGTCGACAACGTGTGTCAGCCATAGGAGGCGGATCGATTGATCATGAAACAGATTCAGAAGGAGACGTTTACCTGTTTTTAATAGATATTTACTAAGTTGTCGGAATTCATGGTTCAGATACAATTTGGTATTCTGAGTAGCAACTGTTTTTACTCAGAATAAGTATCTATATATTTACCTTTGCCTGTAACCGGATATAACGACGAAATAAGAGTGGCCCCTTCATCGTCGTTATACCCGAAACCCACTAATAATTTAGTCAGCGCTGAAACTATAATGGCTTAGTGTCTGCTGGTGTTAGCTGCTTAGTAAGTTTGCTTTTTTTCTTTGATAATTTTATTATATCTTACTATCATATTCTAACATTGTCTAGGTTATCTGATTTCTATGCATGAGCAAGACATATTTTTATTCTTTACCTTCACCGTACGAGTGTTAATTGCGCACAAAGTAAAATCCTTTGGCCAGGTCTTAAACGCTCGACTTCATGGAGATCCATTAACCAACTAGGCTACTTATAACAAAGAAACCTCACAAATATCAATCTATTGATTATTATTATATATATTTATCTTACTTAATAATACACAGATTTTACAATAATATACAAATAAATGTATATACATTTTATGAGATTCAAAGAAAAGCAATAAGTTATGAATCGTAAAATATTTAGGTACTATATTCATTATCTTAATAGTGTGTGGGAGTGTGTCAGTGTGTGTTGAAGCCTACAATTAAATTTAATCTTTAATAACACATTTCAGGAAAGCGAGATACTGAAGTACTTCACCACTCGAGAGGAATTAGAACCTTTGGCCGACAACTGCACTAAAGTATACGCTTGGCACACGCGAACCCAAAAACCCTCAATAACGAACCCCAAAAAATTAAAAACCCCACCCATACCCGACGATCATATCGAGGTTTGAAGCTTCAACCGTAACGAATAGGCAAATCGTCAGAAATTTCAAAAATTTAAGATTTCTTGAATCGAGTTTCAATGGGTAAGTCTACTTTGACAGATGACTTGATTGATCGACCATAGACAAGCATACGACATTTCACACTTACTGTTTTACTCCATAAAATTACAGTTTTACATAGATTGTGGGACTTTATCGCCTATTAAACAGAAGAGCCTATTTCTGAATGAAAGTTCAACACTGCATGTGATAGGTTATTGTATTTTCTTAAAAGGTATGCATAGCATGCATGCAATGTATGCATAAAGAATATGCTTCCTCTTAGGCTTACATTGCATGTGAATTTTGTATCTAAGACATGAAAAGGCCGAGACTAAAAATATTTTAATTTACTTATTTAATCGAATTTTACAGTATTTTATGAACAAGATTGAGCAATATATACGAAACATTAAGAGTGCCCCAATTTCATCGATGCATTAACAGTGTTTTTTTACCTTAAAGTCTTTGAACCTTAAAAAAAACTGTTAAAACTTCGTCGAAATTGTTGCGATTAATATTTTATTATAATTAGGGTAAGATTTCGCGTTAATTATGTAAGTTTACCAGTGACAGAATCTGACAAAATGAAAAAATATAATTGTAAGAACATAATATACTCCAATTTACTCCAAGTAGTACATAGGATATCGCTATATACTTAGAAATAGTTTATTTATATGCTATTGCAAATTATTTTTTATACATGACTTAATGATTTTAAAAATATTTTCTTTTTTATTATATTCTTCATAATTCAAACCATGGCTAATTAAGTTATTTCCGGAAAAAATTGATAACTAATAATAAAATAAAGGATATATGTGTTCAACTTACTATATTTGATATTTTAAAAAGCAATAATTTTAGCAGAAATTGTATTTTTTATTCCCAGTATTATTTTTTTTGGTATTATTTTTCAAATATTTTAAATAATTTTTATTCTTAGTGCTATTCTTCGCTAGTCTAATTATATATTCGTATTAACGATGTCTCAAAATACTCTAATACAAAAGAAATACTAAAAAGAGATTACCTGTGATTAGAATTTTAAGCATTGATTAAATTATTTTTATCGGTAATACATTTTTATATACAGTGTGGGTAAGCACATAATACGTTCTCGGGATTATTTCAAGCAAATAATCAATTAAAAAGTCATCAAGGTTGGTTAAGAATGGATCTTAAGTCTCAATCTCTTGAGTGCTGTCAAATGTGTCAAACTTCATAGAGAACAATTATTTGACAGCTCTTGAAACGAGATTTAAGTTTGATGACATTCTATAATGCTAATTTTTCATTGCTTATGTTTAACTTACCACCAGGTATAGTAACATATAACAGACAAAAATAGTAAATGATTACCAAAATTAAACCCGCATTTTAATGTAAAATTACAACCTAAGTTTTAACATCTCGCTATCCTATTTAAGCAAAATGACTCCAAATAAATCATTGTTAACCCAAAAGTAGTAAATGATCGCCAAAATTAAAACAGCATTTTAATGTAAAATTATAACCAAAGTTTTTACATCTTGCTATCCTATTTAAGCAAACTGGCTCCAAAAAACTCATTGTTAGCCCAAAAATAGTTAATGAAAACCAAATTATTAACCATATTTTAATTTAAAATGAAATGCAAAAAAATAAAATCTCGTTATCCGATTAAAGTAAATTACCCTCGGCAAAAAAAAATATTTTGCCAAACACAGTAAAGTAAATTTACTCCTAACCTTTTTGTCTCCAAATTGATTAACCACTACAAAAAAAATTATCTTGAGCGTTTCGTTTACAACCAAATGCTATACCTAAAATAAAAAATAAAACTCTTACAATTTCAATAATCCCTTTTTTAATTATTGAAACAATCATTAAAAAGATAGTCCTCTTAAAACTAATAATAAACAGTTCAAAGATCTTAAAACTAAACTAATAATAAGCATTTAAAAAATCTTAAGAAGAATCAGTCTTCTGTATTAATTCACTGCACAATTAATGCTTTCTTAGCTTTGGCTGGTCGTCCTCTTTTGCGCTTCATGCCAATCGGAATAGCTCTGGCCTCTGAAGGTGGCTGGACGTGCTTAAGCCGAATCGCCAATCCAACGAGATGCTTGCAAATGTAATCTTTGAGAAACTTTGGGCAATTGCATGTGCCGTGTAACCAATTTTCCTTTTCTCGGGGCATTATAACTTCCCACTCTCTAAAATGTTGCTCTTTGTATTCGTCAAAGGTCTCCCATGGCTTTTCATAATTTTTGCAATCTAAATCCGACCCAGCTGGAATTCTGTATGAGCAAACTAGCTCAGTACTATTCTTTAATGGCACCTGCTTCGACAGTTTTGCCCATTGGTAACTTTCTGTCCACATCTTTAAAGATACTGTCGGCAGTTGAGCGAACCGTCTCTCAGTATTATTAATCACGTATTCATTAGACCAGTCCTTGACTATATCAGAAGCAATTACTAAGAACCGCGCCAAAGGATGACGCTCACGAAGCGTGCCACCATCTTTTATTGTTTTATTGAAAGATTCCAGAGCATTGTTTGTAGCAGGAGTCCCCAGAGATGCGCCCAAATACCAGAAACGATTTAGTATTAGCCATTCATTTTCAAAGTATGTAACAAAATCTTTTTCGGCTTTCCACTTGTCCAAAAATTTTTCGCTGGCTCGATCAAATATTTCCTGAGTTGAGGCACACTGTAAAGCATCAATATCTTGTAAGATCTCTTTTTGGGATTTGTTACAACGATAGTAACGTTTTACTCCTTCTTCAGTCGTATGAATTTTTTGTATTGACCAGGTCTTCTCATTTTTGATAAATTCCTCAGCGCTCCGCACAGTTATAAATTTTCTTTCAAAAACCCAAACTTTATTTTGCCTTCGACGTTTTTTCGTATGCTCTGTGATTTTATATTCGTCTTCATCTGATTCCGATGAAGTACTCAACAGCGGAGCACACGAACTCGGTCCCGCTAAGTTTTCATTCGCCATTGCAAAGAAGATAGATACCAAAACACACCCAATAAAAGCAAGTGCTCGCACGCGACTAAATTGGCGATCGTGTCCGGGCGTGCGCGGCGCTTGCGGTGTGGTGGGAGAGGATCGTAAGCCGCAGACATAACTTAATATGGCATCATAATGCTTCATTTGGTAATAAGCCTACATTTTATGTCAATCATAGTGGTTTATTTAGGCAGAAATAGCGCATTAATTTGCTCGCTAAGATTTGGTGATCATTTACTACATTTGGTGTTCGAATACAATTTGAAGTGCAGTCGTGACTAAAATAGCTAGTACTATTGTAATTTTAGACGTTATTTATCTGGTGTTAAGTATATATTTTTGGTAAAAGAACTAAGGGTATCAAAGCATTTTATGGTGATCATTATATTTAACCCCATTTTTCATTGCACAAAATTTGTGTTATTATTACTTAAGATGCGTATAATATGCGTCATTATTGGCTAGTAATATTTTATAATGGTGAAAAATCTTGTATGGCTGATGCGTAAATAGCCTATTAAATTAAAAAAAACAAAAAGTTTGGTTCTCATCCATGCTGTATACATTTTTGATTCAATTTTCTGTTTTGATCATAGGCTTAAAACGGAAAAATGAATTTAATAACACATCGTTTATAATTTATTGCTTCTTTTAGCGGTTAATAGTAGCTTTAAGTTAATTTAAGTGCTCTAGGAGGGTCCTAATAACGCACAAAACGTATCAAACTAGTTCTAGCTTGTTCCTCTTAGAAATTTACGTAGACAGAGGCATATATTATAGCAATATCCGACTAGTTGTTCTAACTTTGGTAGAGAATTTTACTTATAAAACTTACATACTTAAATCTCAAGAGTTATTTAGCTGAGGGGCTGGACCGTTTCGAACTAGCGTTCTAACGCCCAATGTAAGCTACGTTATTCAGATATTTGTCCTCTATATACTTTTATATAACATGGGAGAAAAGTATACAACGGGCCTAATAAATAACATTTGTAATAATTACTATTAAGTATGTAGAAGGAGTAACAGACCTTAGCCACGAACTTCGTATTTTCGCTATTAACTCATTGACATTTTCGAATACACGTGGGGTTTAGTTCCAAAAACGGCCGTGGAGCGCTGCTCAAGGATTTCAATTAAATTAAATAATTATGATTTTACGTACTGTTCGTGATAAGGTCCTGTTGGCTCTTGAGTTACACAACCAATTAGGTTTAATTATTAAGATTAGAATTGTATTTGAGAGACTCAAAATTGAGCGATCAGGTAAATATTGTTTGAGATTATCTTACAACGCATAATATATATAGTTAATACGCTCAAAGTTGGTCTTATTTTTAGTCTAAGAATAGTATTTGTACTTATGTAGAATTAATTTTGAATTCTGTGAATTCTTTATTTTCATAATTATATCGAACAAACTGCCAGAGCCAATCTCTTAGCATGATTGTATTATTTTTATTTTTAATTCTGATGAATCTTAATTGTATTTTTAATTATTCTTACGATTTAGTTGTATATAATTATATATTATCAGCAATTTCATAAAATATTGCAATTAGGATGTAAATTTTGCAGAGGCCTAAACTTTTGAAACATCTTTGACATAGATGGCGCTAATTTAAATATTTATGTTTTGGACCATGCAATATGATTAATAGAATAATTTTGAAATATCACCGTATTTATTATAATGTATTTATGAATTTTAACAGGGATTGTTTGCTGTCTTACTGTAAGACTATATCGCAATGTGTAAGATTTTATATCAAAATTTGAATAAATTATTCTACTGAATTGTTAATTTTTATTTTAGGCTAACACTCCTAACTCCTTATCATATTAATAAAGGATTAACTAAAGGGGCTTGTCTCGATTCGCACAATAATATTCGTTCCTCTTTATATAATAGTATAGATCACTTTCTCAATGTTTGATTCGTGTACTAAACTTTAAATCACGA